TTGCTGATTTAAGGACGCTCGTGAAACAGACCGTAGTCGGCCAGAACGTGTCCAGTATTAGAATCCCAAAAACGAAGACCAAAACGCAAAAAACGCGAAAAAATATCTCCTCGGGGGAATCTTCAAACACGAGTAGCAACTCAACGGCCAAAACCGCAGACGCCGGTAACAGCAGGACAATGAAGATGAAGCCGCCGATAAAGGGAGACTCGATTTCCACGCACGATGTCTTAAGCGATGTCGCAAAAAAATCACCTGTCGCGGAAGCCATCTCACCTAAGCCTCTTGCTGTAAGTGATGGGATTTCTGTTCTGCCTGGAGACGATATACCTGGGTCATCCAGTCTACTGTTACCCTCTTGTTCTGGCAACCACCCCGAGCGCACTACAGAGCACGTATCTGAATGTGAAGACACAAACCCGTGGGTAGAGGGGAGAGGGAAACGCCATGACAGGATTCTGAAGTCCCAGCCAGCCCTGATGGGTTGCTCGGGACAGTCGGTAGACAGTAAAAGTGTGCGTCCAAGCGATGACTCCGTAAATCGTCCTCGCCCACATGCAGCGCATTCACCGGAAAGACAGAGTAAGGAGGACCATGCTCGCCAGCAGTGTCTGGTTATTCAGGGTTTGTCAGAATCGAATGCAGTCAGACCTGGAGACCGTGTCTCAGAGGACCTTGCTTCTTTTCATGGTCTGCTAAATCATTTACTGCTGGCAGACATGGAAATAAAGATTCTGAAAGCATTCCGGATAGGAAAAAGGAGTGAAGACAGGACAGCAGCACAACCACCTCACCCTCTCAAAATTATGCTGGAGAACAAAGGGCAAATCAAGTTTATCCTCTCTAAAAAAAACCGATCTCAGAAACACACACAAACAGGTTTTTTTCAACCGGACTATTCCCCAGCGGAACGGTTGAAACGCCGGGAACTTTTCTTGGAGTTAAAATCAAGACTGAAGGGGGGCGAACACAATCTGGCTATCTTCAAGGGGAAGGTAGTTCGGAAATATATGCCGTTTCAGTGGAGCCAGCCTGTAATACTACGAACGACGACAGCTACTCAGCTAAAACAGACACCTTCGTTGAACCACCTGATCAAGGCGCCAACACAAGTGAGCCCGTAGCGATAACGGAGTAATGCTCACAGCAGTAACAAATGCAACGGGAAATTCGGCTGGTGCTAAACTGAGGTGCTTGTACACGAATGCCCAATGCCTCATATCGAAACTAGACGGACTAAAACTTTGCCTTGTTGAGCTGTCTCCAGATGTTTTAGCAGTAACTGAGACCTGGCTGTCCGGGAATATAAGCGATAACGAAGTAGCCTTGCCTGGATACCAAATTTATCGGAGGGACAGGGAACATCGTCAGGGTGGTGGTATCGTTGTGTATGTGAATGACGGTCTGGCAGTGTCGGATAACACCACCAAGTTTGCGTGCAGTACGGAAGCTATCTGTTTGACCATAAAGGCTACCGGTTCCCCGTGTCTCGATGTCCTCACTGTCTACCGACCACCTAGGAGAGACCGAATCACCGACACTCAACTATTGGAGCAGTTGGAGAAATTTTCCAGTCGACCTAACATCATGATCATGGGCGACTTCAACGCACCAGGAACAAACTGGAATACCCTCCAAGCGTCAGGTCCAAAATCGGCATTCGATTACCGCCTGTTGAGCAAGACATTAAATGCGTGCCTCACACAACATGTAATGTTCCCAACGAGAACACGTGAAGGACAAAGGGCAAACTGCCTGGATCTGGTCTTTACGAAAACACCAGACAGCATAGACGAGATCGCCTCCATGCCGCCCCTTGGCCGAAGTGACCACGTAGTGCTTATGTGGGATTATTCGTTATTCTCCATTTCACATACTCCAGACCACAAAAGGCGTAATGTTTGGCGGGGCGACTTCAATCAGATGAGAGCAGACTTATCCGGTCTTAACTGGGGCTCATTGTTTACGGGAAGTGCCAACGATGACTGGGAGCTGTTCAAGAATGTCCTTCTGCAGCTCATCAACAACCACTGCCCACTGATTAGTGTAAGACTGAACAAACGCCCTGGGTGGCTAAATAGCAACCTCAAGAAAGAAATCAACAGGAAGCACAAATTGTGGAGAAAATACTGCGTCACTAGACAAGCTGAATGCTTCAACACCGACAAGACACAGAGGAACAAACTGAGGAAGCTGATAATGCAGACGCGGCGGGAATTCGAGAAGAACTTGCTACAAAAAGCAACGCAGAACCCAAAATTGCTCTACAGCTACCTCCGACGAACTACAAGGAACAGGCATCAAATCCCCTTGATAAAGACTACTGATGGCGTTGAGATCGCTGATAATAGGGATAAAGCTGCGTATTTTTCACGGTTTTTCCAATCAGTCTACACAAACGAGGCAAGGTTCCTTCCTCCCTCCACTGAAGAACTGCCGACTCCAAGCGTCAGTGCTATACTCTTCTCAGAAGGCATTGTCCGAAGAGAATTAGAGGCATTGAACGAATCGAAGTCGCCAGGACCAGACGAGATTCCATCCAAGCTTCTGAAGGAACTTGCCCGTGAGCTCTCTGTGCCTTTGTCGATGCTCTTTCAAACGTCATTTGACACTGGAACACTTCCTGTCGATTGGAAGCTGGCGCATATCAGTCCGCTACACAAAGGAGGTAACAGGGCAGCGACGACAAATTACAGGCCCATAAGCTTGACATGAATTCTCTGCAAAGTTATGGAAAGGATCATAAAGTGTGAGCTGATGCGATTCCTGGAAGTTCACAGCCTGCTATCGAAATGCCAACATGGGTTCCGAAAAGGAAGATCCTGCATGACAAACCTGCTGCAATCTCTCCAGAGCAGGACCCAAGCTCTCGACGACAGGCACGCGGTCCACATAGCCTTCATCGACTTCCAGAAGGCTTTCGACACTGTGCCACACTAAAGGCTCTTACATGAGCTGAAAAAAATAGGGATCGGTGGCAACTTCCTTAAATGGATCGAAAACTTCCTTGTGGGTCGACAACAGGTTGTGTGCGTCGGTCGGGGAAAATCAGATCCGGCTATGGTCGATAGTGGTGTCCCCCAGGGTTCAGTACTGGGACCCATTTTGTTCCTTATCTACGTGGACGATGCCGCAAGAGATTTAGACTGTGAAGTAGCAATGTTTGCGGATGACATGAAGATATGGAGTGTCATTCGGGGTCCTGCCGATGAAGACAGACTGCAGATGAACCTGAATCGGTTGGAGGAGAAGTCAAACCGTTGGCTCCTGCGGTTCAACGTTGCCAAATGTAGCATACTTCGCCTAGGCAACACAGCCAGATCCGCCAGCACAAGAGGCTACTTTCTGGGCGGTGCAGCCCTACAAGAGGTCGAAGCCCAAAGGGACCTCGGTGTGCTGACGACGAGTTCCTTAAAACCATCCGCCCACTGTTCGAGGGTGGCAAAAACCGCAATGTCGGTACTGTACGCCATCAAGCGTGCGTTTATGGACTTTGACGAAGAAGCTTTCTCTAAGACATTCGGAACATTCGTCCGGCCGCATTTAGAGTACGGCATACAAGCTTGGAGGCCGTGGGCTGTTGTGGATCAAAACTGCCTTGAAAGAGTCCAGAGGAGAGCCACGAAGATGGTTAGGGGTCAAAGCTCCTTTCCTTATGCAACCCGCCTAGTAAATCTGAACCTATTTCCTTTGAGTTACAGGCAACTTCGCGGAAATCTCATGCAAGCCTTCCGCATTGTAAAGGGGTTGGATTGCAGTCTGGCCTTTGAGGACTTCTTTGAATTTCCTACTACGACCAACCTCCGAGGTCACCCGTTAAAACTGCACACTCAGCAGGCACGGCTGGATGTGCGGAAGTTCTCCTTCTCGGTTCGGGTGGTCAAACCATGGAATGAGCTTCCCGCAGATGTTGTGATGTCACCATCTATACAAAGTTTTAAGAAGAATCTGGACATATTTATGTTCCGAAATGACCAAGAGCGATGAGAAGTCGAGCTCACCCCCTGTAACTCCTTCTCATTTTGTCCCACCATTATGGGCGTGTTCGAACTATTTCAGCCCGGAACATCTATCTGTACACCACACATTTTTTACGTTGCAAATAGGGTACTCAAAGGCTTACGCCTATTTCCCTCAATAAACTGAACTGAACTGAAAAGTCGTCCGCAACCATTTGATTCTTGAAGCTTAAGTCGGCCGCGGCATGAAATGCCTGTGAGAGTAAACGATCAAAATTTTCGTTGGCGTTGGGAGGGTGATGGACGCAGCCAACGAGTAAGGAAAACTTATTTTTAGTGAAACCTGGAGCCAGCGACTGCCTTCAACCGTGGAAAAATGCGGGAGGTTCAACGGCAGAAATATACGTGTTTGCTTAACGTTGACGCAACTGCCCCCACCACGGCTGGCTGGAGGGTCATTTCGAATGCAAGTATGGCCTAGAAGAGAGAGTTCGGAGTCAGCCACGGAAACTAATGCCCATGTCTCGGTTACTAAAACAATATCTGGACGATGGACGTATACCAGAATCTGAAGCAAAGGCCTCTTATTTAGCAGGGATCTGGAATTTTGGACAACAAGTTTGACACGAAGGACCGTTTGTTTCTGAGCGAGGTGGACAACGTCGTACAGTGCTTCGCTGCCCACGGAACACACGGTCCAGATGAACCCATTCGGTTCTACAAAAAATTCTGTGGCATTAAAATATTTTGACGTGGATAAAAATGAGCAGGACTTGGAGGCGGAAATGACGGGCAGGCAAATTGGTAACCATTGTTAGCTAGGTCATTTTCAGCTGAAAATCCACGGGCCGAATGCTGCCACTTATTCCCGTCGGAACGAAACTGAGGAGCGGATGAGTTAACTGACCCAGCATGGACATTGGAATGAGGAAAGCATTGGTAAAACGGCCGTGGAGGAAACGTGTTAGGGGGTGTGGATGCACTGTTTCCATTGGAGCAAGAATTCAATTAAAGGCGAAAATGTCGGCATATTCGGCCTACCCGCCACAATGTGAGTGCTGGGGGGTAGTTGAAAACATGCTACGTTTTGGGCCGTGTTGTTTGAGGCAGTGTTAGGCGACTGTAGCTGGATTTACCCGGTGCCCGAGTGGCTGAGACGGCATTTGGATTCGCCCTTGACTGAGGCACATGCTTAGGCTTGCTAGGGGTTGCTGGAAGAATCGGTAGGGGCGTTTTCGTACCAGGCGTGTTGATGTGTTTGAAGATATCAGCATCAAGAGTAGTCAAATTCCCTACGGAATTGACTATGCCCTGACGTGCAGAGGTCGCAGATGATGATGATGAAGAGACTTATTCAAACTGACAATAAGTGTCCTCATCTCGGTGTTGGTTTTTGACAATTTCAATTTGTTCAGTCTTCGCTGCAATGGTGTGACGCTCGACAAAACTGAGCAGTGTTATTTGCGGCAGGATTCTCTAGTTATGTCCCTCCTCGACAAGATAAAATCGACTTCTATCAAGGAAAAAGGGTAATTGGTATCGGTGCATTACGACTGAACGAGAACAGTCGTTTAGCCTGTGCGACACTGAAACCCAAGCAACAACTTGCAGGAACAAATGCGCTCCTTCTATAGCAGATAAGTGACTCGGAATGTTTCGCAGTACAAAATTATGCCTGCGTTTTATTCTCTCCTAGGTTTCTGAGCTTATTACTTCAATAACCTTAAACGCCTGTCTAATGACTTCTTCAGAAGTGCCGTTTTTGTCGTCATATATCAACCGATAGTGTATTTCGTCGGCTGATGTTCTGTTACGACTAGCGGTGGCGTAGTTTTGGACGATTAAGAGGTCAAAAAGTTCTACTTGGACTAAAGAGGTTTTTAAGTTAACCATACCCACAGAAGGCAACGAACATATTCTGGCACCTGCTGGGTCTCCGGCCACGATTCTAGCACTCAGATACGGTGGGGAGGCCGCAAGCTTTCGTCTTTAAGCACGTACTCTTCGGGACATTAAAAGGTACCATATAGGTTTTCCGTTGCAGTACAAGGATGAAAACGTTGCTAACGTACAGAACAACGCACAGAATAGCAAATACTACTTTTAGTTTACTACCAAAAACTAGAAGGAGATGGTCTGACACGGAGTCAATAAACGCCAAAAATACCACGTCCTAGACGCCTCGATGTGGCAAAAATCCGGCAAGTCAGCACTGCTGAGGCCCTAAGTAGAGAAATCCGGACCTGGTTTACGACCCGAGCCGACGGAGAAGTCAGTAATCAGTGGTCGTCACTGAAGACTTCAGTCTATGGGGCAGCTGAGAAAATCCTTGGATACACTCAGCGACGCCGCAGTGACTGGATCAGCGGAAGAACCCTGCAGTTGTCTGCTCAGACGTCTAGAGCTAGGTCCCTCAACGATGACTACTTCCGCCAACTTCGGAAGATGACGGCAAAATCGGCCAGGAATGACCGGAAGCAATATTGGGCTGAAATAGCGACCTCCATGGAACAGGCCTCGAACGTTGGTGACATTCGAAAGCTCTACCGTCTGATCCGCCAAGTTAGCAGTAAGCCCTCTACACTGAGTGACTCTGTTCGCGATGTGAACGGCGGCTTTATTGCTGACAACTCGGCCAAAGTCGAGCGCTGGCGTGAGCACTTTGAGCACAATCTCAACTTCGATAACCAACCTACCCCGCCATTGCTCTCCTCCTCAGGGGAGTTTCTTCTCTCTCCTACCTATGCAGTGCCATGCGATCCCCCCTCCGAGGGAGACGTCGCCGATGCCATACGAAAGTTGCGCAACAATAAGGCACCCGGAGAGGACGGTATACCCGCTGAAGTCTTCAAGTCGTGTGTCGACACTGTGGCGCCCTGGCTCCATGAGGTAATTGAATGAGCGTGGGGAGACGAGGTTGTTCCTGACGACTGGGGCTTAGGCATCCTTGTACCTATCCTCAAGAAGGGAGATAAGACGAGATGCGAGAACTACCGCGGCATAAGTCTCATCGACGTTGCTGCGAAGATCTTCGCTATTGTCCTACTCAGGCGATTCCAGGCTGTGTGTGACTCAATGACGAGGCCCACCTAAGCCGGATTTCGTGCTGGACGTGGATGGGCAGACCAGATATTCACACTGAGGCGCATTCTCGAATTTCGCCATAGCTACCAACAACCGACGGCCGTCTGCTTCATTGACTTTGCCGCCGCGTTCGATTCCGTTCACCGTGAGTCTCTGTGGCGGATAATGGCGCTTGATTGTGTACCGGCAAAAATCATCGCCATGATCAAGGCCTACTATCGCTCCACCACTGCGAGAGTCCTGGTCCGCCACAATCTTTCCCAACCGTTCGGTATTCGGTCTGGCGTCCGACAGGGTTGTATCCTGTCACCAATACTGTTTAACTACGCTATTGACTGGATCCTCGGGAGGGCTCTACGCGAGAATGACGGTGTTGAATTTGCACCCGGACATCGACTGACTGATCTCGACTATGCTGATGATATCGCCTTACTCGCTTCAAGTTTTGGTGATCTGCAGTCTATGGTGTCACGGGTGACCGAGGTCGCTAAATCGGTCGGTTTGTCCATAAACGCTGGGAAGACCAAAGTGTTCTCAAGCTGCATCCCTGACCAGGAGAAGGCACCCCTCGGGATTGATGGCTGTCAACTTGGAGAAGTAGACAGTTTTAAATACCTTGGGGCGAGGCTGCTGCCTAATGGACAGAGTAAGGACGACTTTGTCTGCCGAATCGATGCTGCCGCTGGGTTTTTTCAAGCCTTCGGAAATGCCTGTGGAACCGACGTGACCTCTCCATCGCCACAAAGATTCGCGTGTACCGTGCATCTGTCCTGTCTGACCCACATTCGTACCCCTCAAGGCTGAGATTTATTGCTACCCTGACGATGACCGACAACATTCCGTTATATACCGCCATCTACAGGCCAGTCCTGCTCGCTTTTTTCTGTCATTATTTTTATTGAGGGTTTTTTCTCCCGTAAAATTAATCCAATCATTTTTAACTTTTTGTAAGGAGTTTTTTTTCACCCCTCAATCATCATGTTTCTCAATGGACTTCTAATTCAGAAACTATGAATTGCATTTTGTAAAGATTCGGCCGACCTCGTCTAAAACTCGCATGTAAATTTATTTTAACTTGCTTTGATGGGACCCCGACGGGTCTTTAATAAAAAATTATTTATTTATTTATTTCTCTACGGTTGTGAATGCTGGGCTTTGCGCGCGGAGGACGAGCGAAAGCTGGAGGTATTTGATCATCACTTCTTGAGGACCATCCTTCGAGTGAAGTTCACCGACTTCGTCACTGCTGGTCGGATTTGTGTTTAATCGCTTCCCTTGACAATGCCTGTAAACTGGCATTAAATAAAATTTATTTATAAATGAGACAGTCCTCGCTCGCTGCGGCAACATCTCAAGGATAACTCAGGCCATCCAAGAAAGACGACTGAGGTGGTTTGGGCATGTTCTTCGTCGTCCACCTCAGGAGCTCAGTGTTACTGCCCTCGATCCGGCGCCGTTGCCCCATTGGAGGCGTCGAAGAGGGTGTCAGCTAAAAACTTGGCTCGACACAGTTCGTCAAGACATGGAGGTGGTTATTGGACCTTCGGTATTCGGTCTGTATGGTTGGCGAAGGGGATGGGTTGAGCTGTCCAGATCTGCTGCCGCGGATCGTCACGCGTGGAGAAGTACAGTTCGGGACATCATCGAGGCCGGCTGGATCAGGCATGATCGCAGCCGTATCAAGTACAAGCAAGTAAGAGTCACTAAAAAGGCAATAAACAAAATTCGACTAATTTGCCAGACTGTCTAACAAGAATGGCAAAAATTGTACCCGGTTGTGAAAATCGAATTTTAAAATGGACTCAGGTAAAAAAAATAGGCATTAATTGCTTAAGAATATCAAAGTATAGGCAAAGCTCAACTTATCTTTGAAGTTGAGCTGCACGCCTTGACCTTGACGTCGCCAGTCCGGGGGGATTGTCCAGGAAAAGTTATCTCCGAAACACTCACAAGGAAGCTTCTTTGGCCGGGCTATTCACCAGATGAACGTCCGAAATGAGGGTGATGACTTCAAGAACCGCGAAAATCGTCGATATGGTTGAGAAGTGATATCAGTGGATTTAGACACCAATTCAAAACAGGGATTTCTAATGATATCATTGAGTGTTTCGACTTGATCTACCACTAACTCCCAGGAGGACCGTTCTCGAAGTCAAGAAGCTGAGTGTTCGGGAATGAGACTGTTAACAGTGCCTTTGTGCTTTCGGGTGTGAGATGTTTGCGCAATTTCGACTTGAATACCAGTAACTTAGGCGATAATCTAATTTCAGGCGGAAGATTATTCCAAAGGAAGGCATATTTGGAAGCAAAGAAGAGGGAGCGCTTAGATGTAGTACAAAGAGGCGGCGGAATCACCATGGGGGAGTTGCGCGTGGCATAAGACCGATCTCTCGGAGTGAGAGTGTCAATGTGCGGAAGACTGGAGCTAGAGTTGATGCGAAAAAGGAAGCAAAGGCCAGCTTCGAGTCTTCTAACCCACAAAAACTTCATGTTCGCCAGCTGACATCTCTGAGTATAAGAAATACTGGACGAAGCTTGAGAGAACAGTTTCCGGGTGAAAACTCTCTAAACATTTTCGATTTTATTACGGTCGCAGGCGGTCATTAAACCGAAGAAAGGACAGCAGTATTCGAGGACTTGAAGAACAAACATTTGATAAAGTCTTAGCTTCATTTCCGGAAGGAAAAAATTATGCGATATGAATCCACATATCTGCGCGGCTTTGGCAGAGATTCTATCTGCATGAGGTGATAAAGCAAGCTTATTTGTATAACTTAGACCTAGGTCCTTTATGGTGAGGCATTCTGAGAGTGGGTTATTCTGAAAAATTATGGGACCAGGAAGTTTGGTAGGACCAAAAGATATGAAACTACACTTGGATGATGAAAACTCCATCTGCCATGTCGAACCCCATCTGCTTAAGCGTAGTAGATCGGCATTTATTTTTTCAACACAAACATTTGCGGTGTCCTTAGAGTATGAGTAAACACACTTGAGGTCATCGGCATAAGTAAAAGTTTGCGAATTTCCGAGTTCAGTCGAAATATCATTGATGTACGGAAGGAAGAGTAGCGGACCCATGACCGTGCCTTGAAGTACGCCACTCGTGATCGAGTGGGGTGTCGAGTTGCTATTACCGACCATGACTTTCTGATATCAGTTGGACAGATAGGACCTGATGAAGTCGAGTAGAGGCGGCCGGATGCCGAGAGCTTCCAATTTTACTAAAAGACGTATATGGGCACCTTGTCGAAGGCTTTGCTAAGATCAAAGTAAATAACTTCCACTGACTGCCGCTCATTACGAAGAGAAGTGATTACATTAAGAAAAGCCAAGTGACATGTTTCGCAGGATCGTTCAGGTAAAACTCCATGCTGACTAGAGCTCAGAAGCCGATTAGCTAGGCAGAAGTCAAGAATTTCATTGAAAATAATCCTTTCAAGAAGTTTCGCTAGAGACGGCGTTTTGTGCACGCCCCGATAGTTATTAACATCGGACCGAGATCCTGACTTAATGACGGGAATGATAATTGAAGTGTTCCGTCAGTGATCGGACATTCTTAGCAGATATGGTAACGCTTAGCAGTTCCACATCCCGTATCAGACTATTACATCAGCCATAACACTGAGCTTGCAAGCGACATAAATTATGACTCCTCCTCGGCTTAGCCTGTCTCTCCTGAATTGCTGATGTCCTCTAAGTGATATTTCTGAATCTGCGATATCTTCTGTAAGCCACGTTTCTGTAAATGCCATAATGTCTGGCTTAATTTCGTCAACTAAGTCTCTTAGTTAGTCTAGTTTTTTTGAAGAGGCTTTGCATATTTGCGGAGATAACCTTCAATGAGTGTTTCGTTGGACAGGCCCGGCCTTCATTGTGACAGGTTCTGACCACAGGAAAGACCCCTCTGTCTGGACTATTTGTCCATTTTTGGCCTTCAGCCCTTTCTCTCCTCTGCCAGTTCTCTCCTTCAGTTCTGATCTCAGTTCTCTCATTTTCAGTCTTTCCCTCGGTTCGTAGTCTGGTTGAAACAACACTTCCTTGTGCGAGTTGTGTAAGGTCGTTCTACTTCCTAACAAAAGCGCTGCTTGGGCTTCGTTTTCCAAAATAACTTTCCGGGGTCTTGGTGATGTTTTTAGTTCACGATTTGGGTCCGCTGTGCCTAGTCGGAAAGCTTTTTTAACGGTGAATATTTCCCCGTCCTGTAGGATGGCACTGGCGTACTGATGAAGAAGGTCTAGGTCGTGCGTCACTCGTTCCTTCGGAATGCAGGACGTGGACTCTGGGGTGCCCCTTATGACAATATTTTGCTTACGATTTATGGAAGAGCTCATTACTTTCCCGTCCGCGCTAGGACGATGTAATGCTACTGTAGTATTCGCGACGGATGTTGAAACTTCGACATTTGACTGATTTTCGGCCGGCGAGGGTGGCATAGGGCATGGATTTTCATGTGTCGTACTTGCTCCGGTGGTGGAGCTCTTACAATCATTGCCCTGTTGCCCAGGGGGCGCTATAATAAACCTATTCTATTCTATTTACTGCACGAAAGCTCATCGTGTCCTTTTCCGTCAACGGAATGGTTAGGGCACTTCCCAGTTGAGTTAGCCTTGTGAAGAAGTGGAGTAACAGCGTTACCTTCCCAAAAATAACGGTGAGTCCTTGTAGTTTCTAACAAATCTTCTGAGGGTTACCCTGGCTTACCTAACTTTAGTGTTCGATGATTTGACAGGTTTAGTTACTATAGCAGGCAAGGAAACCTGACTTATTTTTAATGCATAAGCGTCGACCGCCACGTTTTCCACCGGAACTGATTTGTCTGGAGTTTCCCTAGAGACATAACTCGCTTCCTCTTCCTGACTGGCTTTGAGTTTTCCGCGCCAGTGCCTTTATTGGTGGGATGTTCGTCGCCTATCGATCGGAAATTTGGCGGATTATTTAGTAATTCTATTTTACTGTGCTTCAGAATGGCCATAATGATGTCCGTCAGTAGGCCCTGCTTCTCTTCTAGCGTCTGGACTCGCTTTTGTGAACGCGTCTTTTATAACTGATTGGCTCATTGTAAATGGTTTTCAAACTCGTCACTCAGTCAACAGCAATGCTATTGTCGACGGTATTTAGAAACAATTTGGAGGTAGATATGCCAGCTGTGAAAAAATGGTGTTTGGAGAATAAGTACCAGTTAGTCTAGAGTTATTGACGTAGTGGGACTCACGAAGAGAAGGCTGGGCATGAGACCTAAAGGATGTGGGGATATAGTTTTCGAGCATTGGAATGCTAGGGGAGTTAAGACAGGGATAGGCTGGTTGATAGTCAAATTGTTGAGGAGGTGGAGGAGGAGGGAGAGGGGGAGGGAGCCTAGAAGGAAAGAAGGGGATGGTGGGGGAGGGTAGGCAGCTTTAAGCATAGAAGGGTGGAAAGCAGGTCTAGGTTGGAAGTCAAAGGAGTTAGGTTGACTTACGTGAGAGCAGTTGGCTTTAAGTGGTGGGAAGCCTGAACTAGATTGTGACATAAATGACTTAGGCCAATTCACGTGTGAATTATTTGCTGGATATATAGTAGGGCTTTGGTAAGTAGCCGGTAAGCAGGACAAAGGATTATTTGGGGGTATAATTGGAGCTGTGGTGTTTGTAGACGAGCTGGGCTGTAAAGGCTTGTTAGATCTAAGAGAAGGTAGCGTACCCCTAAGCGGAATTGTGATACCTTTCTTTTGGGTCGGAGTCTGATTCAATTTTGGAGACTCGCCGTCCTAAATAAATGCCACAGGTGACTTAACTGTAGGGCTTGCAGGACCCTACTGAAATGGGGAGGTTATCGGTCTAGCTGATGTGGACGGATTTTAATGCGTCCTAGGGGAGCTATCTGCAGGATTAGGAACGACAACTGGGACTGCTGCTGCCACCGTTGCTAACTTAGGGGCAGGCGAATGCGTGAAGTGGCCTGAGTGAGAGGGGGGTTTTAGGAATAAGGGAAAGGAGGTAATCAGATGTCGCAGGAGTAGGATCAGCCGAATCCTCGCGCCCAATTGTATTATGACCGTGATGATCAGCATAAGACCGAAAATCTGTGGGGTTACGCAAGAAGAGGGACCCGATTCTACGCTCCACGGGAGCTAGATTATGACAAAGAAAAATTGTGCATTTTCCAGGTACGCAGAGACACGATTTCGATGGGCAAAGATTGAGCCGACCTCGATTGTTGAAAATAACTTAACTAAGACGGCGGATTTTTGCTACGGGGGGACAAGCGTTTAGCATCGGCTATTTCGCATCTGAAACCACAGGAATACAGGCAATTATTCGCAACATCAACTAACCGCGCAGATTGACGAACACGTTTCAACAAAAGTTGTAAGCACGCTTTTTTCTATCACTAGATTCACTTGGGATCAGGTGAACAAGTGAGGCAAGATGCCTACAGTCTTGATAGGGAATATCGCAGATGTTCCCGTTGAATAATTTTCCAAGAATTAAAAGAAGAGGACCAAAATTTCGTATAAAATCATTGCAGTTATACAGTGAAGACAGCTAAAGCTGCCTATCAGTTAAAACGGGCGATGACTGACTAGTAATACCTTTTGACTTAGATTTCGTTTAAAACTTCTTTAGTTAAGCCATGCTTAGGGAAAAGGTCGAGAGATTTCGCCGACCTGTGACTTTTGCTTTCAGCTTATCTCAAGGCAAGTTACAATTAAGAAAACTTCTGACAGACCAGGTGACTGAATTTCAGCTAGAGGCCAACGATGTAAAAAATCACAAACTTAGAGAGAAATCGAATGCACAAAATGCGAATTGCAAAATGCGACCGGTGATCCAGGGGCATAGACAAGCAGTACTCAAAAGGGAGATGGCAACTGGTAGTTCTGACTGAATAGGCATGTATTTAAGGAAATTTAACCAAAAAACAGGGACAAAATCGCTAGGTCTCTTAGAGAAACCACTTAAAATAATATGTTCCACTTATCTTCAAATTTAAAAGCACCGACTTCACCTAGACCTTGTTAGCAGGGCAAAACTTGGACTCAGTGCCATCGAAGTAGAGTTCAGGTGTGTTCCTACAGAATTCTGTTAGCAATAATGTTATTGCGCTAATAAAATCCCTTCCTCTTGCAAGAGTGTGCGTTATAACTTTGGCTGCGGAAAATTTGAGTGAAAGTGCCCGCGAGGAAAGAACCAATATGCCACTGCACAATGGTTTGCTGGCTATTATCAGTGAATGAAAACGAGTGAACACGCGACTCGCGTTCTCGTAAAGGGGTCACTACTTTAGCGGACCCAATCTATCCATACCGCGATCTCACTCTAAGACCAAGTCGAGAAAAGCCAAGCGAAAGGACCTCACCCGAACGGACTTAACTGTCAACGCCGCCCAGTGAAGAACAAAGGTACTGGCCGACGAATCACTTTGTGAAACCAAAACTCACCCCAGTTAGTGTCTGTATAACCGTTAGACTAGTGCCAACTTGAAGAAAAGTGGGTAAATGCGTGTTTAGGAAATTCTTAGGAAATAAAATAGATAGTATATAAACAAAAATATGACCACTGGCTACCGCAGGGCTCTTTTACTTCCGACATACAACGCCTTTTATAAAAGGACTGTGCACGGAGGACCGTGGCAATTGAGATGGTAACCTTTGAACTTCGTTGTTCACTACCCTATCGGATCAATGGCAGCGGATGGACTTTAGTTTTCGCCGTTTATCCAAGTTCGTCAATGTTTTGGGCTCGTTCCTGGAATATGCTTTTCATAAAACCAATAAGAAGACTTTTTGATGTTACATTATCTTTTTTCTCGGCAAAATACATTGAAAACCTCGGGTCCTGATAAGTTTGAGCCAAATACAAGCGTGCCCCTTTTCGGTAGTGTCTTTTTTCCGTAGATTGAGCTACAATCAGTGTAAACGTGTAGATCCGCATCTCAACCGCCAGTAAAGGGCCGGTAACTGTATATCCGCTCTCGTCATTTTCATATCGAGACGCGAAAATGCCGTCGAATGGAAGTCCCATGCAATTATTTGGGAAAAGATATTCTTTATGTATGTATGTATGTATGTATGTATGTATGTATGTATGTATGTATGTATGTATTTATGTATGTATGTATGCATGCATGCATGCATGCATACATGTACGTATGTAGAGGCAGAGCTCTTCATGACCCTATTAATGTACAATGCTTTCGCATATTCGCATTCAAAATACAGTTGAAGACATTTACAATGTGATCGGGTCACAGAAAAATCATAATGATAAGGAAGCGCATCAGTTCACTGTAAGTCAGTGCGGGAAGGTTGTGTATGACAGTGTTTTACAGAACTGGCTGTGAGTAGTCATGTTGAAAAAGCCGGCTGCTGTCGAAAATCAAACAAGCAAGTTTTCTTCTAAACATGCAAATATTGTCGACCGCCACCATCTCGCTTGGTAGCGAGTTGCATGGTCGGACTCGCTGGCTAAATGAAAAGTTCCTATGGTGCAGCCGCGTGCGTTCGTCCTTGGTTTTGCAAGGATGAGCGCGTAATTGGTTTGTACGGGCAAACTCAAAGAAGTCCTCCGCTCTTAATAAGCAACCTTGGCCATGGACAATCTATAATGTCCAGAGTAGACGGTAGTTTAGTTGCCTATGAGAGTGAAGGAATAACCCGAGCACACTCAGCCTCTCCTGGTAAGGAAAATACTTTAGACCACCGACTATCTTCGGTGACCTGCGTTGCACCTGTTCGAGTAAGTCGATATCCTTCCTCATCCATAGTGAAGTTGCTGGCATTCCATACTCCAGAAGAGATCTTATAAAGACGCTGAAAAGTCTTTCGATGAGTTCGAGAGGGAATATTTTAAATGCCCGTCGGATCCAGTGCAAAGTACTAGTTGTCTTCTAAACCATCTTTCTACAATGTTCTGATGGCATTAGGTTGGTGGCCGATCATACGCCCAGACCTCTGCGTTTTTCTACAGTTTCTAATGTCGTTCCGCTAATTTAGTACTGGTGTTTGGTAAAGGCATGGGCCGGGGCGCAACAGGCATTACGGCTGGTGTTTAGGTACAAAACCACGCATTAGGACATGTCAAATTTCAAAAACCATCTGTTGGACCAAACACGCAGTTTGTCGATGTTCGGCTGCAACTTCTTTGCACCATCATCGCACTGGATTTCACTCTATATATTATGTCGTCCGCGAACCTGAGCGCCTCATAATCCAGTTCGTTGATGCAGTCATTAACATAAAGCTGGAGGAGTACTGGGTCATAAGTAGTTTCTCAAAAGTGATCAAGAACACGAAATAAGCCCTTAAGTCTCCTTGTGTTGTTATTTTCAACAAAAATGCCTTCTGATCTGCCTTCAAAGCTCAGCAATTTCAAACAGCTACCCCATGAATATGTCATACTTGTACAGTGAACCATCTACTCAAATTCCATAGAATCAAAATCTGTGAAAAGTGTGTAGCACCACATAAGGCGTACCTCTGTAGACGCTGATAACGAAATGATTAACTTAGTGTAAACGACTAAACTCACTTTGCTTGAAATTTGGGCTACAGTCATTGCATCACGTGGCCCATATACCAGATAAAGCAGACGAAACTCTCAGCAACGTATCGAGTAAAATCATTTTTTCAGAGGAATAGGACGTTTTTCAAAGGAACTTAACGTAACTTCGTCACGGAAAGCACCAGATATCATTATGAGGAAGCGAGATAATCTGAAGAAAAAAGTGAGTAGTGAAGAAATGTCTCTAGGAAATAAAACAGGACGTAGGGACAAAAGAGCGACCATGAATGATGAATATGGGATAAATCGCAATTTTTTAATTGGCAGAATAGTCTAAAGCCCGAGGAAGGGCGCCAGTTTCATTACGAAAACCCTACCTATTATCCTTGAATATTAAGAACGAAATATCGTTAATTATTAATAAGTGATGAGAGCTAAAGTAAAGCAGCCCACAACGCTTCCAGTCTTCGAAACAACCCAGGTGAAGCAGAAACGGAGTTGTGGAGGAGAATACACGGGAAAAAGTGTTTTTGAAGTAGGCTGAATTAACCGAATGAAAACTGCATGTCTGATGCACCGAGCGATAATGGAAGCGAATAAAAGAGACTAAGGTACCATTTCTGAGTCTCGGTACTCGAAGGTCGGTTGAGTGATTAATAATTTACTGTTGCTCACGTTCCTGTAAGACACTGACAATCCTGAGCTTGTCTACCTCCCAAATGTGTTTTACTTAATACTGTTGTGCTGGCGGTCGTTTTGTGCTCGCGACTTCCTGATTTCCGTGATGTCGTTCCTGTCCGTTCCTACAAAAAAGGGAAGTGAAGTGGAGTTGGTAAAACCAATAGAACATTACATAAAGGGAAATTATGGCGCCGGTCCTGCTACAGCGTGCTCAAAGGGCCTTTCACACTTACAGAAAGTGCGGGCAAACATTTTAACGAAGCTGAACGACAGACACGAGAGCACTGTGACTTACATAGAAGAGTACGTTGAATATCTATCCTCCATATTCAGTGTTTTCTCCCACCCTTAAGATAAGGCTTTTACGCAGCATGGATTACACCCCCATTCGTTCACTGTTTAAACGGAACTTCACTTGTAGAATTTTTTAGTACATTTAGTGCTGCGGGTCTTTGTCAACCGACTAACAACTTTCTTGTCTCCAAAGCCACCCAGTACCTGTTATGCAGCATTCCAGCCCCCTCGTTGTGCAGGTTTTGTTTACCAAATTCTTTGACTGGGACGCATAAACTCTAAACCCATTTCATCGTACTGGCTCAAAAAGGCAGATACAGCTGACCGTTTCAGTATTTCTTAGGTCCGTCTTAATCGTAGAGTCAAACGTTCGGATTGCGTACTGCATAGAGAGCGTATTTTAAATATAAGGGGCTTAGTCGTTCTGAAAATCGACTTTAACCTTGAGACATTCTTCCTGTATTCTCGTCTACAGTAAGCTACTTCATCCTTACTATAGATTTAGTCTGGTTGTTGCTCCATCTCCGTCTCTTATGACGAGTTCACTTTAGAATTAAACCGCTTACTTACATCAGATAGGCTTTCGTCGTACCCGACCCAATTGACTGTCTTTTAAGGGAATTTTCAGTACAGGCGCGAATCCGAGTCTAGGTAAGGTTGGCCGACGAGGGGTAGTAGACCAAAAAATGGCTATCCTGGTCTCCCTTGCCGGTACTTTCCATCTGCATACAGGCAGATCCCTGACAGTCTCCATGACTTCAGGACTTTCTTGGCATTCGTTAGCTGGCCTGGTGAAGGAACCTTACTTCTTGACAATCGTATTTATCCCTGGCCGTCCAAGGGTTGTTCGGCCAACTTATTTGCGACTTAGAGGTGAAGGCGGGTGTGCGAATTTTAGTTTTCACCTCAGCGCTTGTGGATGCTTTGCTCTAAATACCTATAGGTTCTTTATTTATCTGTTTTAGGACTGGATTATTTTAAAAACCTTGTAGTCTTACGTGCCGAGACTCATTGACCACTTCGTTCTTCCATATGCACGCATCGATTTCTTCCTCATCCAACCGTTTATCTGTTCCTAGGTACGTGGACACCCTCATGAGCCTGGAACAGCGTATTCCCATGACAAATCAAGAAGTTGCCATACCATTCAAATGGTATGACTGTTTCTGCTCTCAATCACTCTTCTCTCGTGATTCCATGAGTAAGTTTATCCGTTTGCTGGTTCGTCATGTTCTTTTTGCGTCGCGGATTACGCTACAGACCCCAGGACCCCAAAGTCAGTAGTAGGCGGTTTTGTCGCACCTTTCTTCCGGAGGGCCTTCCTAAACTGCCTTGTTTTGTACTTACAGAGGGTGCTGCTTGCTAACCAACTTTCCAGCCCAACTCTCTTTATGTTACACGTCCAGAACGTCATATCGATCTTTATCCATTAGCACCGATAACGGTCCGAGAAGCATCTTGCAGAGTATTTGTCTGAATGAAACTTTACGCCCTGTCTTTAGAACAGAATCCTCATTCGATTTTAATATTTTTGTACACTTGATGTGGGCCCGATGGGTCTAGGAACACTTATGGTGTTTCAACTCAAGAGAATTTTTTTATATATTTTCCATCTCCCACTTAGAGGGATATACAGCTGGATTCGAGCGTTGCTGCATGATCTTCAATTTAGCCGCTGTTCACAGTCAGATTGCCGCAAGCCAAAATACTCGTGATGACGAAGGCCTGCGTACAGCTGCCAAGTCTTTCCAGGTGAGCTCTCGTATTCTGAATCTGCTCTGTCTCACTAGAACTCTAAAATGTATGCCTTACGGGAATTGTCAGCCCTGCCTCCCTGAAGTAGCATTTAATCTCATCACGGGTTGGTTCAGAGGCTCTGACAGTCTCCTGGTGTATAAGAGAGGAGTGAGACCGACACTGGTAATCCATCTCATAGCAAATCAGCTCAGTCCTTACTATTAACAAGTCTGTCATAAACCAAGACTCGTGGCTTTGAGGACTGCCAGCTCACGGTATAACTTGGTCCTTCTCAGTACTGAGAGTCAGGCGGCAGTGGCTCCACAATGTGGCCTTTATAGAAGTCTTACCGACCTGAGGTGTGAACTACCCTTACAGAGACTTGGTGCATGTAGTGGGCGACAGGCCATGCGTGGCACGTGTTGAATGGTTGTTTAGCCCTGTCGGCCACTGCGCCTCAACTCACCTCCGGCCGTCCTGAACCTGTAGCGCCATCGGAGCCCGGTAGGTGAAGGAGAGTGCGGCAGATACTGTGCAAGTCTACCGGTGCTTCGCCAATTCCGTCAGGTACGTGGTGGGCGTCGTCACATTCAACGACCGAGCTATCAAGAATAGCATCTAGATCATCATGTTTTGCTTTGATATTCGCCGTCTACTCGGTGACATTCTCCCAGTGTCCCAATCGATTGTAAAGCTGATTACTTCAGGTAATTTTAACTTTTGAGCCACACGTCACGTTTACTGTACTCAATGTCCTAAGCACTCTACTAGGTCTAGTGCAAACTTATTGTCATTGATCCTCTTAAGTTGACTGAAGCCATCTTCGGCATTAGCGCTTCGCTTGTTTCTTTTTATCCCCTCACCTAGAATTCACTTGCATGTCCATCCCGCGATTCAGGGTTTATTTTAAATGTATTTTCCGAAAATTCGTTTCACAGGCTGCCGCTGGGATGTTTGAGTATGTGAAGGTCAACCTGCCATCTTTCTACAGCCAATCACCAACATGGGACATGTGCAGTGAGTCTCTCGCCGCATTCTCCTCAGTGATGCTGGCCCAGGCTCAGGAAGCCATATTTATCAAAGCCGAACAAGGTAATCCGGCTCACTAGGTTTTTTAATGCTCACTCGATAAAATTAAAGTTTTTCTCCGATTGCATCTTATAATCCGGCTTGGACTAAAATCCCTATATGTACCGACTCTCAAATGATGTTTTATCTCGACCTATATTGGTGTAGTCAAGGAAGTCAGTGGGTGCCATTTCCTCGCCACCCGTTTACTCCAGTTCAGTTTAGAATTCCAAAATGAATCCCTGAGGAGTCTAAGAAAGTTACTGGAACAGGTTTTGAATGCCCGACATTTGCGGGTATTTTTAATGACTAAGGCACACAACAAGCGCATGCAATACCCGTAGTTCGTCCTCCTGCCTGTCGTACAATTTTTCGCCTTTGCCGAGATTGCGTCTTAATGCAATTTTAGCCGTGCTGAATGCAACGGATCGGATGCACGATCCGACAGCTGCACCAGTCTGTGATGATTTCTCCCTTGTTACTCTACACTGTCGTCACCATCATTTTAGCGCACCGAACTGCTGAAAGCCCCACGGCAGAAATGTGACAGGCTCATTTATTTAGGACCGTGGTCAAAAACCTCAACGCTGACAACGAAATCGGGTTGTTATAATCGGCTTTTATGCAATCCGCTACCTAGCAGGCAACCGAAAAGTAAAACAAACGACCATTCATTTTTGAAAGTTTCTGTATGCCGCTAACAAACAATACTGATATAAGGGCGACCAGTTACTGAACGATGGACAGCCTAAAGTCAGGAGTTACTATGAGGGTCCCTTGACTGTCGCCACGCCTTTGGGTGGCAGTGGCTCACAGACAATAAGCAACACTGCCTGTGTAATGCAACCTTAGAAGGAGACCCTGCCTTAGTCGTCGGAAATGACTGCAGGGGTGGCATTTTTTACATGTTCAGGGAGCCAAACGAAACGTGCACACGCAGCTGCTCGAACACCGGCTAACATACGAGCACATAAGCCCCAAATCCCCGGTTGTAGGCGTGCAGGACGGGCCTCGATTTGCCGCCGAGGCACAATGCGAACCCAGCTATTCACCCCAAGGGCCGGGCTCCAGTATGCAGTACGAATCGGTACGCCAACCCTCTGGCCTATCAAGCCTCACACCAGTGCTAAACCAGACTGATCGGGTTCGGTGAGACAGATGTCAGGGACAGCACGAGAGCCTGCAACAAGGCTCTCCTAGATGCTAGATACCATGGAAAGGGGGCCAACTAACATCAATACAGGTGAAATCTTAACAGGCTGACGTAATTGCCCGTTGACAGAGTCAAGAAGTTGCGGATCATACTCTAATGACACCCTGTTTCACGAGCAGCAGCAAAAGAAGTTGCAGGATAATTTGGGCACGTAGCAATTTTTTCCGCGTTTTAGTCTTTGAAAAAGACAGTGGACCAAATTGTTGGAGAGCCAATGTGTTTGTTCCAGTATATTTCTGATTGCTCGGGCTTTTATGACTTATAGCAAACGTCAACAGCATATGACTTAGCTAAGGAAGCACATTAAACGTCTTTATATAGTCAACTGGTTGCTGCCTGCCGCCTACCCACTAAAAAATCGGGGGGGGGGGAGCGGTGTCTATGGCGCCTAGAACGAGCCAAGTAGTAGATGCCCTGGAGCAACACAGGGGTGCAGACGAGAGTCCGGCTGGCGTTATCGGGAATGCGCACCCATAACAAATGCAAGCACTGGGGGATTTGGCTGCAGGCCTAATTGTCGGCGCACGCCATGCCAACTAGGATCCGTACCCTCCACCCCTTCCCCCCTATTTTTCTTGCTGTTCAAACCCTGACCAGTGCACGTTGTGAACCAGGGGATGTGGTGGTACGCCTATGCGTGGGTTTGCGCCAAACCAGCCACTTGCGCCCGGGGCCCAAGTGGGGGAGGAGAGCGTGTGGTAGGTGTCGCGCAAGTCTACTATCACTATTAACTAATTCACGCGCAACTCACCGTCCCTGCTCTCGCCCTGTTGTTGCGCACACGGTGGACCTCGTCGGCAACGACGGTCGAACTGTCAAACGTATTCGTCTTTTGGAAGCTGCATGACGTGTAGGAGTCGAGACCTGCATTGCAGTCCGAAAGTTTGGAAGCAATCACTGCTCTATCTGGAAGTTTTGCCTTCATCCAACTCGCTTGAGTATATATCGATAATTTCTGCGTACTATATTTGCATATATTTAATTATTCTTTAGAAATATTCTGAATGTGTAAGATGGACTGATCTATGCGGCTTTGGAGGCAAACCCTCTTATTGGTATTTTTGGCAAATCCTGTGATGTTGGGCGCCTAGACGATGTTTGTTCTTTCACAACCGTTGACTTACTTTCCTCCACTCCACAAAACTAAGCAGCATCGAGATCTTTTGTAATCCCTTATTATCCAGCAGTAAATATTTCAAACCAGTTATCTTGGCCTTATTTGGATGAACAGAAATAGGTGTCTCTTGAACTTGGGACGTAACCTAGATACAGGGCGTCAGCAATAAGGTGGACAATTCCACTATGACATGTTCGAACTTCATCGTAGATGCGAGAGCTGCTGCTGTGTGTGTAAGGGCTGACCCCTTTTGGTGTATAGAAGAATGGGACAGGATATACATAAGGACGATTCCGTAAAGCGTCCTCTAAAGTCGCGAGGGTGAAATATTCTTCAGTGCAGAGGGGACCTGCTTGCCTCAACCCCCTTTGGATTCTTATCTTTCTGCTAGCTTGTGTGATCGCCGCACTTTTCTTATGTTCATTAGTCGCCCCCATACATCTGAATGTGAATATATGCCTGTATGCGAAAGCAGAGACCTTTTCACTAAGCACACCGAAAAAATCTGCCGTGGCGAAACAAAATGAGTGGTTTTTCCAAACTTTACGTATAGAAATAAGAAGGATTAGTTTGTTGATTAATTCAATGTGATTCTTACGCCTGTATTAACTAAGGGCTCAGACATGTTTCGCGTGTTTTGTATCACTGCATGACGCCGCTCCATGCTCGCACACTGGTTTTTGAGCTCAAGCATAGGTTTACGGCCACGGCGTGAACTCGACTCCATTGTTATGGCCGTGATATTTGATAAGCGTTGCGAACTGTATGTTTTCTGGCTTTGACCTCTGGCGCATTTATAGGGTCATCTGCAGGTCAATTAAGGCCAAAATTTGCACTTAGGTAAAGAGAACGAAAAAAAACTTATTAGGACATCTTAAGGAAATGCGGTTCACCCCGTGTTTTATCTTTCGTCAGGTTTCTAGTTCGACATGACATATCTCGTCTGACTTTATGACCCTCATCACTTTCTTCGAGTCTTTCTGAGCAAAATGACCCTCCAGACGTTAACCGTTTTACCTCTAGCCGTCATCCCTGTTTCAGTCTTTATTTCAACTCACCTTAGATGACATGAAGGCCGGCGTTGTCGCCAAAATTGCCAACCAGGCAGCTGCGCTTTACAATGAAGCCCTAAAGAATGTCTCCCTATCTTCTCTGAGAGCCTACATGCCCAAGGTAGGTGTAAATTCCGTTTGATCCCCGTGCCAGTATGCCAATCTGGCCAGACTGATATGCGGTTTTTACATACGTGAGTAATTTGCGGGGTTGTAGTTCCCCACTTGCCTTTTCGTTACCCAAATTATTATCTCAAGTCTTAGTTTTGCTGCAGAATGTACTTAGCTTATTGTTTTTGCTGTCAAAAACCGGAGCACGGGGCTTTTCTTCTTCCCGGCCAGGAATGGGCTTCTACTCTCTCGTCAAAGGCAAGTCTTATGGAGACCTACGCGGAGTATTATCGTGGCGTTGCGGCAGGGGAGGAGCAGAAGTATGGTGAGCAAATTGCGCGATTCTCCGTAAGTTCCATTTGTTAATTCGGGGTTTTGAAGCTCATCATCTGATCGCACGCGTTCCGCCGAATGGGTAATAATGCTTAGGAAACTAGCCGATTCTCATGGTCGAGCTATTCTTTGTTGTCCCGGAAAATGTGAAGGAAAATCTCGAGAGGTTTACCGGCTACTCAAAGTCGTCTACTTACTTTCCTTAAGTTTCTGCATTGTGTAAGTTGTCTAACATCCCCTTAACTTAGGTTTACTAAAGTTCTAGGTTTTGAAGGAAAGGTGGACGTCGTCTGAGCTTATTTTAGCACTTTCCATGGCTATACACCTCGTAGGAAGTCGTCAATATCCACCGCGCCCCTGTCTTCTTTCCGTTTAAATTGAATATCCCCTTCGTTGTCGTTTTCCTTCAGAGAGCCTCCCATTTACTGAAAAACCTGACCTCGCGCTCAGCAAGAGATTCCGTCAAACAGTTTTCCGAAAAGGTTAAAAACGCACATAATACGGCCAAGAAGGACAATGATCTCATCTACCACGACACAGTCCCTGACCCAAAGAGCCTGCCTCCCATTGGCGTTGCTGTTGTGGCCAAGAAGACCCCGCTTCAGCTTCCGCTGAGTGGGAAAGCGCCGAAAGATCGTTTTTCGTCCCTGGTCCCCATGGCCGTGCATTCTGCCCTCACCGCAGCCGAGGCCGTTCGTCAACAGATGATTTCTGTGGAGATCGGCCGGCTCCGTGAGGCCTCAGATGTGTGTAACAGGCAAGCGCCTTCCTTCGAGTTAACATGCTATCTTGAGTTTTGCAGTTGTATGTCCCTACAAGGAGTTTACTCTGGTTGTAGACAACACATCTGGCTACAACCCGAGAGCCTGATAGTGCATACGAAATGGGTCCAGTCTGCTAGGCTTATTGTAGGAGTCTTCTGACGCAGTGTCATTTTGTCTTGATGGGGTTTAGCACACTGGCCTCACTGAACCTGCCGGCAGCTGTACAGGACACCGAAAAAGAAGAAGCTCCCTCCGACTTGCTGGCAAAGGCTGCACAAGTGCGTTCTGCTGGTGGTGTGAAGGCGCTTGCCGATTTGGCCAGTTCTCTCACAGATGGGTCTACGCGAAACAAGGAGATACTTGATAACGTAAGCTCCCACTATCCACTTTGGATCTTGCCCCTTTTGAGGCAGGTCTCCTCATCGCACTTAGCCCGAGTGACGGCTCTGCTTAACTTTATGCCTCAGTTGAGATGCTAAGTCTTTTTTGAATAAAGGCCCCACCAAGCGCCACAGAGGCTTGTGGAAGCTGCCAAAAATGGTCGGCCTCATGTTTGTGTCATATTTGACGGAGGTTCGACCTTACGTACTGTGCGCATCCCTCTGCCGTAACACTGCTGCAATAGAGGTTCTCATGTTGATTCGATTATTACGTATGCGGGGTGGCAGGTTTGGTGGTCCCCTCCAGACGTTTCTTTTTTTCAAACCGATTTTCTCCAATTTCATGGCCCATTTTGTATTGCTTAAGAATTGACACTTCACGTAGCAGTCACCTTCTGTTCCGTTTCATTATGCCCCGTGTGAAATGCGTTTTATGCCCTTTTTGCAGTCTGCTTAGCTCCGGGGAGAATTATAACCCTGGGTCGGTTCTCTGCCAAGAGTTTGGGGTTCCGGAGTTCAGTAAGCTGTTTATTCAATCACGATGTGACATGGCCATATGGTTACCCCGAGTTGGCCATTTAAAGGCTGTCAGTAGTCTTTTTCGACACGCTTTCCAAGCAAAAAGCTCCCTACTTATGCCCCTGCGTTCGAGTGCCTTTCGTTGATGCACATCAAACTCCTTTTCTACAAACTCTTTCGTGCTAATAAATCCTCTTTATCCACAAAGATAACTTCAACCGTCGATGAGGAAGAAAAGACGGACAACGATTTACGAAAGCAGTATGGCGATAAATGGAATCGTGCGCCTTCTAACAAACTCAACGCCGCCTGGCGACAGGAGATTACCAAACACAAGGCTCTTCTCGAGCAGGTATCCCTCATCTCTAAATAGCCCGTCCCTTTCTGCATCGTCTTCTGAGTTATCCAGTCTTTCTTCTCTTACCTCTCAGGCTAGTATCACGGATAAGGCACTCATTGACCGTTATCATGCCAATGAGCATGACTTCAAGAAGCTATGTCAATCAGATGAAGAAATAAAGGATTTGATTCGAAATTCAGACGAGCCTTCATCACCTTCCTCTCCAACCGGCTCCAAGGGCCGAGAGAAACTGCGCGAACTCTGCCGCGATATTGAGACTATGAAAGATGAGCGCAAGGAATTGCAACAACAATTGCAAGCCCTGAAACTGCCTGATGAATTGCGTACGTTTCACTCCATGTACTTTGTGCGTTTGTATTGGTGTTTGGCCTCCAAAATGGTTGGCGCTGTTGCGGCCGACTCAAAACAGAGCCGTCTTGGTGAAGTCATACTCGATTGACGTAAAAAAACATCACGTGTTAGCCTGAGCGGTCTTTTAGCCAGCCATACTGCCCAGTGCAATTTTAATTGCTTTGGCTCAGTTTGCCACCGAAACACGGTGAAACTAGGACGAGCGGGAGCAAGAAGCCGATCTTATGTGACCTTTCCTCTCACTATAATCGCACAGCCAAGTCTAAGCCTCCTCGTTACCAATTCGTCAACACTAGACTGATCACCAGTGCGCGGAAAATGGTTGTCATGCCCCTACCAGCGCCAACTATTGAATACACCGAACCCACAGGCACTGTTGACGGTAATCGCCTCATAGCTACCGACCAATTCGCGTAACCGAGAAAACCCATCTCAAAGAATATCAAAGTCCAAGACGAAACTGCGACCCAAGCCTCTAAAGTAAACACATCTTCGGTCTGAGGTCGCCATGGCACCCTCAACACAAGACTGCCGTTTTAACAGCACTCATCCACGGGCGAAAATTTATGTAGTGTTCAAAACCAGACGAGAAAGTCGAACCCCCATCACTCACCACTGCACGAGTCCTGTACCACCGGAATCTCCCACCTATTCGATATTTGGTCTGAAGTTGGACGAGGTTTTATTCTGCCCCCTTCACCCTTTTTTAACTACATTATTGATTAGATTCTCAGATGGATCGTGTGCAGTGTTGACAGTGTCGACTTTGCGCCAGTGCACTGGCTGACTGACCTGTACTATATGCCAGCGTCAGGCTATGATGGCCTCAGTAGTGTGGTGTTGAGGGTGAATAAAGTAGTCTAGTTAGTCTATTGATGGACAAATGGGAAGACTGGAGATTTCTCGAGGTGCATTTCGGCCTAGGGTAAGGAACCCTTCAAAATTAATGACTGTCATCTCGAAGTAGTCAGTTTCGAACATCCCTATGTGACATTGCTGCCAAATGAACAGAATAATTACAGCATAGTTTCTCATATCAGTGCTGCTCGCGATGTTTGCACAATTCTTTGACAGTGCCAGCGCGCCGGACGTGATATCTGTGTTGCCACTAAGATCCGCATGTACCGGACATCAGTTCGGTCAGTCCTCTTGGACGGCTGTGATATCTTGAGCGCGCGCGTTGAAGACGAGCGAAGGCTCGAGGTCTTTGACCCTCGTTGCCTGGTTACCTTCCCGTGGTTGAGGTACACCGACTTCGCCCACGCTCGCAGTAAAAACATGAAGATATTTCGGGCCCCACAAGATGGGCGACTGAGGCGGTTTAGGGACGCAGTTTACGGCCTGTTCGTGAGCTCAGTGTTGATGCTCTTGGTCCGTCGTCGTTGCCCACTGGAGGCGTCGAAGAGATCAACCGAAAACCTAGCTCATCACGATCAGTCAGAACATCGATTTCGTCTTTTGACTTCCGGGTAACGGAAGGGTATAGGACCCGCAAGTAGATGACAAATAGAAAAATGTCCCCTCAGATTCAGTGTGACTGTAAACGTACCTTATTATTCGCCGTTGCCATTGTTTGAAATTTCCCTCCATTCAAAGTCCGTTATTTTTTTTAAATTGCTTTTTGGTTATCTTTTGATTATCGCGCTCATCTTTGCCAAATGACAGCGTACGATAAGACTTTCGGCAAAGATTTGTCTATTTTCTGTGTCTTCTTGCCCTCCGTTTCGTGTATTTCTCCACGCGTAAAACCCCCTCTACCACCATTCAACGTATGACACGGTGTACAGGCTAGCTCAAATTAGTTGTGGGTCCTACACCTTATCGTTGCCCAACTAAGCTTTCTCACCTGACCCCGACAGTCTTTATGCAGCGGTAAGAGCTATTTTCACAATTGTGGACTCCGACAATTCGGTTTTCGGTTCCCCTTCTGACGGACTGCGCTACCTTATTTGGGCATACGTAACTTGCGCCAGTCGGGGGGGGTGTGACAATGCGTCAGAAAGGTGCTCCAACTAAGCCAGACCAACAACCTTGGTAAGATTTCCGCAGCTGACGGGACTCAAAAACAAGGAGAAGCACCGACGTTATGTCCTGCAATCAGGCCAGGTCAATGAATGTCGCTCCTACGTGACGCTGCATACTCTAAATGACAGCCGGCCGACCGTGAACCCGTGACCTGATTGTTAGAGCGTTAACTTCAATGACCTGCCGCAAGTTGGAACAGGCAGAGAATGGCATTTCCAGTCTCCCTTGTCATTATTGCTTATGAATCACTGGTTCGTCGTTGTGGCAGCAGGTGCGCCGAACCACAACGGGGGTCGGACTGGCCCGCGTTTATTGGACCTCGCTGATTCCGCAAAAGGTCCTACCTACGTGTGGCGGCACGACTTCAGCGTAGGCGTTCACGCCACGTCAACCACTGCGCCCAATCCCGTCACCAGCTAGTTGACAGACTCGGACAGTGGACAGATGCATGGGAGAGGGAAGAGGGAGTGAGGCCGATCCCGGAGGATCCATCCCCACTACACACTAGCACACTTCATTACCGCAAATCTGACACGCTCCAATTCATCACGTTGCGCTCAGAGTCGTGCAAACTAACAGATAACTCAGTCCTTGAGGGAGTATTTTGGGGTAAACTGAGGGTTGAACCTGACTGCAATGGCTCCTTAAGCCATTCTTTATGGAACTAACCAGTGCGATATCGGAGCCGCTCATGCAGACGCCAAGTATTCGTTGTAGGGTTTTGTCAAGCGCCTGCCAAAAGAGCTGTTTTGAATCGACACAGTCTACGTGAGCTTGAACAGAAGAAATCGGCGGTACCAAAGTGCGCTGGACTTCACCAAAGTCACTCAAAACTAAGAAGAAACTTAGGATACTCTCGCATAATATCAACAGACATTACTGTTCCCACTGAAAGCTCGAGTACTCATGTTTGCAGTCAGAAGAATACAAGTCACTAAGGAAAAACGATAATGACAGGACTAAGACATGGAGGAGTTGAGGTACCACCATCGGTTCTCCCTCCACTTGCACGCACCGCCAACGCATATTCAAAACTCATATTGGTCTACAAGCCGCCTCCCATCTCACCGTAACACCAGTCCTAACTCGCCACTTAGTAACCGTCTTGGACGCATTCACCAGCACCAACTGCTATCGCACATTCCGGGCCGAAATGCCTGCCTAACATCAATATGTCAAATCAGGAGGACGCAACACCTCCAAATTTGTACGGATTGCCATTCTCCTTTACTACCGGCAAATTATTCGCTCACTCTCTGCTAAAACGCACACATTTCTCTCCCGCTTTCCGCTGAGAAGGTCAAAGCTAAGAATCTATGCCTGCAGGATAAGGTGTCTGCCCCACATACCTGCTCCTCGTTCGTGCGCGTTAGCCACTGCTAATGTTTTGCGATTTCTAAGAGCTTTGTGGTAATCCATCGACGGTTTGATGGCGATGCACCACTCAGCATTAACTCTCGGATACGCCAGTCATCCTTTCTCTCTCGACTTAATGAGAAGCATCCAGTCTTTTCCTCCAAACCTTCTCCTAAGGGAATATTATATCGGGAAACGCAATTTATCTCAGCGGTGCTCTGAAATGGCAGATTAATTCGTTCTCTAGTCGACCACTACTTTGCGCTTCGACTTTCCGACCGAACACCTTGGCTTACTCAGAAAGCTTTTAAGTTATTTCCTAGGCAGGTGCTTCAAAGTCTTCTATCGATTTACAGCAAGACTTGGGGGCTTAGAAAACGGTTTAATTTCTTAAGCTGAGGGCCGAAGCAGTCTGAGGCGTGTTCAACAGCGTTTAGACCCAGCTGTCGACTATGCCGGGAAGCGGTTTTCTATTACTGTCGGTTTGGATAATTCTGCTCGATATCTTGAATTTGTCCTTGTCCCCATTGTATCCAGCGAGCTTCTTCTAGAGTATTAAGTTGTTAAACGCAAAGAAGTGAATTCTGTGACTGGGAATTAAAACATTGTATTTTCCACGAAACATTTAGTCATTAGTTTGAGTAGCCTTCTCACAGCACTCGAAAAGAATTACTTCATTTTTTAATTCTTCAGTATTCGAATTTATAAACTACTCACACTGGTCAGTTATAGGCGTCAGTTTCCGAAGCCTTTTGTCCCAAAGTGGTGACCCTTATCGCTTGTAGCGGTGAAGCCTATTTTCCTCCCCACGTCATTTTTTCAATC